AGCAGGAGCAGGGGTCTTTCAAACTGCCGACCTTTCAGGACCTTGGTTGGTTGGGTTGTCTCGTTCTCTACGCTCTTTCTGGAGAAACTTAAGGTAAGGCTTGGGTGAATTTATCGTGATTTTGGCCAAAAAAATCAAAAATTAGTTTTTGGCAGAAAAACTTTCTTTGGACTCTTAGGAATCATGTGGTTAAAGAGTTCCACGATCGGGTGAAAACTGGCGACGTGACAGCGATTTTTCGAAACCCTTGCATACGCGAATTTTAGGGCATTTTAACGAATTCGTTGAATTTGGCCTGTAAGTGGGATAAATCCTTCCCCGCGGCCCGGGAACCTATTTTAAATGTTGCCGCGCGCTCCGAGAGGCCACTCAGGGCGCGCTCTGGCGGGTCCGGGTAGAACTACGTGCGCGAGGCGCAGAGGGGAGAGGGGGGAGGGGGGGACATTGCTGAGCAACCAAACCGAGCAGTGGCGCTCCGCTCGGCGGCGGCGGCTCGGCTCTGGGTAGGGGGGTGGTATAGTAGTAGTAAACAAACAAGCGCACGGAGGTTGCATTGTCATTGTAGTTATGTCAAGATGCATGAAGTACATTCAAAGTACCGGGCGCCGAAGGCATCTCGTAGAACGAAGCGCGGATCTACACTGGACGCAGCCCGAGTTGCCAAGAGAGCAAAAGAAGAAGCCAAGAAACTTACGGCGACAGCTCAAGCCACTCCAGTAGCAGCGGCGCCTCCTAACCTCCCAAACACACAAGGAGAGACACCGAAAACTTCAAGATCAGCAGAAAAAATAGCAAGATTCAGCACGTCAGTCTCAAAAACAGATAGTGAATATTTTTTAGTTGACTCTGGACTCTTACAAAAGCTAATAGAGGTTTACCAGTGTGTTGGCTGTAATCAGAAAGCAATGGACATGTGTGTTCTTGACAGACAAGGATTTGCAGTTAAATTTTTGTTGAAGTGCACTATTTGTGAACATGTTCACTCAGAAATGTATTCAAGCCATAGGGTCATGGACAGCGAATCGTCTCGACCAGGATTTCAGATCAACAGGCGAATGACAGCAGCATTTTTGGACATTGGTTGCGGGTATACTGGTATGGCTAGATTTTGTATGACCATTGGTTTGAAAGTGATGGATGTCACTTCATTTTATGGCCATATGCACAAGATGAAACAGGAAACTGAAGTACTAAAGAAAAAAATACTTGAGGAATCTAGAAATGCTGTGAGAGAAGCCCATGTTATTGACAACCCCGACTTGAAGGACCAACCCGTGTTAGATATAACAGTATCAGTGGATGGCAGCTGGCATAGGAGAGGCCACATATCTATGTATGGGTTCGTTGCAACTATTGACGTACTAACTGGATTGGTTGTGGACTTTGAAATACTATCAAAGTTTTGCCTCATGTGTTCTATTGCCGCTCACCGACATGGACAAGATTCCGAAGAATTTACAGCGTGGAAGGAAGAGCATTTAGAAAAAGAAGAATGCAGCATCAACTTCAATGACTCTTCTGGAAATATGGAGGCAGCAGGAGCTGTAATTTTATTCAAAAGATCAGTTCAAGAAGCCAATTTGCGATATGTATCTTTTCTTGCTGATGGTGATGCAAAAACCCTATCTCAGTTGAACAAAGAGCAACCTTATGGCAGCGCTGTAGTAATACAAAAAGAAGAATGTGTCAATCACGTGTCTAAAAGAATGGGGACAGCTTTACGGAAGCTTGTCCAGGATGAGAAGAAAAAGGGAGTCACACTTGGTGGTAGAGGTGAAGGTACACTGACAGAAGTCACAATGAAAAAGTTGCAAGGGTACTACCACAAAGCAATTGTCAGTAATGCTCCTGATGTACCTAAAATGAAAAAGGCAGTTTTAGCTACTCTGTACCATTGTACATCTACAAATCAAAAACCTCAGCACACCTACTGTCCACCTGGAGAGGAATCTTGGTGTTTTTATAACAAAAACAAAGCACTGAAGAAGAGAAAAAAGGGAGACCACACTAAAATGCCTATCAAGATAAACAAGAAAGTATTTGCTGCTCTTCTTCCCGTATACAAACGGCTGTCATCTGATGAGCTCCTGGAACGCTGTGCAAAGGGTCAGACACAGAATGCAAATGAAGCACTTCACTCGGTGATTTGGAAAAAATGTCCCAAACACACTTTTGTCTCGAAGAACAGACTTGAATATGGAATTACCCAGGGAGTTGCTGAGTTCAATATGGGCATTGTAGCCTTACAAACCATGAGAGCTGAAATACAACATCAATCCATACCTGAAGTGAGTTTGGTAAGTTAGTTTACATACTTTCTACATTTTTCACAAACATTTCTGCTAAAATAATTATAAATCTAAATCAAAAAATTATTTCCAGGCTGTGGCAGCAAAGATGGATAATAAGAGGAAGGCTCAGAGTTCACACCAAGAAAAGTCTGGGACCAAGAGACACCGCCTGTCAAAGAAGTACAACAAGAAGAAAAATAACAAGAATGATCCAAATGCTTTGTATGGGGCTGGGACTGGGGACTGAGGGCAGACCTGAGGTCCAGTAATTTTTTTTTCCTACTTCCATATGTGATTCAACATATTAATCCAAAGAGCATGATTTTTTGCATGATTGTTAGGCTTACACAGCCAGAAATTGATAATTAAACTTTAAAGCTGTTTTTCTCAAAACTACTGTTTTCTGTCTTTCAGGGACTCCATGCGCAACACTTTTTAACGGATTGAGCTATAAATTGGTGTGGGAGTTTCTGAAAGTGTTGCCAATGAATGTATAGAGAGTTTATAGTGGATTTTTGCCTACTTTTTGGGCAACACCAAACAATATCTCAAAAAATGGCAAAAATTTTTTTTTTGAAAATAGGCAAAATTGATTTTTTTGGGAAAGGAATCTGATGACAAATTTGGTAATGTCTCTCTATACATTAGTTGTACATGATGTAAAAAAGAGACTTTGGTGGGTGTCAGAGTTTTACGTGAAAATTTGTTGCGCATGGAGTCTTTTAAACCTGTATCTAATTTTCCACAAAAATGCCCATAACTTTTGAACCGTTTGACCTACAGTGGGGATACTGTGTCAAAAAAAAGTTTTTCAACAATTCCAACTCACAAAAAAAATTTGAAATTTTTCTCACTTCCGGTTTAGATTTTGGCCTTTTCACCCAAGCCTTACCTTAAGGTCGCATTCGGCTGTATGGGCAAATAATTGGTGAAATACCTGGTGGCTGATAAACCCCGCGCACTTTTGTAGTCCCACCGTACCGCGTG